AACTCGATGGTACCTGACAACAACATCTTTTAGCATTTCTAACATGCCCTAAACCTGGTGCTTAAGTGCTAGGCTGCTATCCAAAAGGTCGATGGTTCCATCTGAGGGAGAAAGATGTAGTTGTCTGCTTTTATACAGATTTTAAATAAAAGCCCAAAGCCATTGCTGTAGGACAAAGTACAACTTCCACATAGAGTTTCCAAGGCTATAATCTTTACAAAGAAGTCCTGATATGGCACTGTACTGCAAGGTCGGTTTGAAACGCAAGGTTGGCAGTTCAAACTCACCAGCAACTCCTAGGAAACCCTATACAAGGTGGCTGTAAGTCAGAACAACTCGATGGCTCTTAAAAATATGTAGGAATCCTACTGCTACATATGTGTCCTGCATTATGGCTGGTGGTTTGAAACCAACCTGTCAGCAGTCGAGCGCTTTAACCATGGTGCCACTAGGGGTCACTAAACCTACAGCGAATCCTTGGTTATGGGTTTTTAATACCCATAATACCCGCACTATCTGCCATCCTAGTTAGACGTATGTCATCATACACAAGTCTTTCCTCAGGTGTCAAACTTCTCAAAAGATACGGAATAAAGAGGATAAGCAACCTGGTGGATCCTCAGCCCAACGATGGCAGGTGGGCTCTGAGGAGTATAGCCTGACAAAGCCGGGCGGGGCCGAGCTGGGCTCGGCCCGCCCCGGCCCCGCCCCGGGACTCAGCCAGGTTTCTGTGCCCTGGGCGGTGACCTCGCGCTTCCTGTGGCTGCACAGGTGAGTGGGGCCTGGCTGTGTGACGCACGTGGCAGCAGAGCGGGGGCGTGGAAAGGTCCCGGGGCCAGGTGCGCCAGTGGGGAGGGGGCGGGACGCGGCCTGGACTGGACCCCTGGGAACTTCGGTTACCGGCGGCAGCTCGCCGCTACGCTCCCGCCATAACCAGCGGCGGAGGCCTGACGGCGAGGAATCGGTAAGGAGTGACGGGTTCCGGGGAGCGAGCGTTCTGGCGGCCAGAAGCTGCTGGCACTGCTGGTTTCATTCAGTAGACACAGGTGCGCGCGGCTCGGCGGTCCTGCCGCTTCTTCCGTGCACTGCGGCCGGGGCGAGGGCCGTGTACTCGCTGGGATCCCAATCCTTTGGAGCCTGGGCCCTGGTGAACGTGAGCGGGAGGGCCCTGGCCTCGCTTAGTTCGGCCGCTTTGGGATAGAATCTCAAAAGTCTAACGGAGTGTATATTGGATGAGAAAAGAAAGATGAACACTGCCTGGGATGGGTAGAGCAGAGGATGGAAAGGGACTTGAGGGAGTGGGCATCCGAAGGCTGACTGGGCAGAGACTCCGATGAAGATGCCGCAGAAGCTTTACCTGCCTTCGGGAAACCCATTAATATATGAAAGCTGCCCATTTCTTGATCCCAGCAAAACTTTACAGAGAAAGCAGTGATTTTATTTAAAGTGGCCAGGCACGATTCAAGTGACCCTTTCTTTGTGCGGAGTCCTATTTCTCCTGCCACCCCCCTATGGCTTTCCAAGATGTGTCCCAACAGAATGGAATTAGGTTCCAAAGGCTTGAACAAAACAAAGACCCACTTTGCCTCTGTGTTCTACTTAATTGGACACTCAGTAACATCCTAAAGGTTTTTCTGGTTAAAGTGCTTCCGAGGAATGGCTGGTGGGTTTGAACCGCAGATCTTGAGGTTGGCAATCCAGTAGTTATCCTACACACCACACTAGGACTCAAAATAAATAAATAAAACTAAACTAGATAAGTTATTTTTAGGGATGTGATATATTTTGCTGCTGTTGTTAAGTGCTGTGGAGTCGGTTCCAACTCATAGCGACCGTGTATAGGTTTCTGAGGAGCAGCTGGTGGATTTTAACTGTCGATTTTGTGTTGCAATCTAGTGCTGATCCTACAGCACCACTCCAGGATTCCTGATATATTTTTTAATGTGATAAAATTCAGCTAACCATTCCCTTGTGAGAAATTACATATTTTGTTTTCCACAACTCTCCAAACTATAATTTGTATGCTTAAAAAAAAAAATTGATAACCCAAAAACCAAACGCATTACTGTGGAGTCAATTCAAGCATTAATAATACAAGCGGGCTTCAAAAAGTTCCTGGGAAGATTTCATTATCTTTCAGTTTCATTTTTCCATGAATTTCTGTCGCTTCCTCTTAATGTTACAAGGGTAAGTCAGAAAGTATTGCTACTAGAGTTCCAATTCATGCATAGGCTTATTATAAACAAAGTATGCTTAAACATGTCTCTATGATCAGCGGATGACTGCCAACAAGCTCTGTCAGCAATACACGTCTTAGTCTCATTAGAGTGCCTTCAAAAATAAATCCAGTCAAAACTGGTTTCCTAGGGGATATGCTGGGCCAATTTAAGGCATGAGGTTAGTCCAAAGGTGATGACAACTGATTTTTGGGATTCCAAAGGGATCATCTAGATTTATTTTTTCTCAAAGGACATAGGACAACCATAGGGGCTTGTTACGGAGATCTAAGAAAATTTAAAACTGTATTGGTAAGAAAAAGGCCAGGAAAGTTGGGCTGAGGAATTCTTTTCCATCATGATAATGCACCTGCTCATTCTCAAAGGGTAGCAAGGGCTCTCCTAAGAGAATCTGGGAACCTTAGCCTATCCACTCTATGACCCTGATCTGCTCCCTACATACAGATTTCTTTTTATTCCCAGAACTCAGTATTTGAAAGTTAAACAATGTGAGTTTCTCAAAGATGTCAAATCTGCCATTTTTACATGATATAAATTGAAGAGTGCAAAATTCTTATGGGAAGGGTTAGAAAAATGGAAACATTGCCTTCAGAAATGTATAGCTCTAGATGGATCTAAGCAATTAGCTTCACATTTTGATACATTTTTTTAAAAAAATAAAGATTTCTGTAGCAGTACTTCACAAGTGAAGATGAGTTAGATTCATTCCAATGAAATCACTTTTACTATAAGTTAAATTTCACAATGAGGTATCCTGTAAAGTGATGATAAGAAATGTTATGGAGCAATTGAAAGGAGTGTAAGCTCTCTGCTAACCAAAAAGTCTGTCTGAGATTTGAATTTACCAGCTGCTCCTAGGGAGAAAGATAAGGTGGTCACCTTCCCTGAAAATTTATAGCCTTGGAAACCGAAGGTAGGCAGCCATTCTGGTCTTTTTTTCTTCTTTTTCTTTCAATATCTATTGAGAGGGAAAGATCTGACGAGGAGGACCCTAGGCAATGCTAGCCCTTATCTCATCTCTGTGCAATTTTCCTCTTTCTTTTAGGGTCTCTATGGGTCAGAATAAGGAGCTCTGGTAGCATAGTGGTTACAAATCAGACTGCAAACTTCAGGGACAGCAGTTCGAAACTACCAGCGGGAGAAAGATGAGGCCTTCTGCTCCCATAAAGATTTCCAGCTTCGGAAACCCTGTATAGGGTCACTATGAGTTGGAACCAACTGACTCCATGGCACATAACAACAACAGTGGGTCAGAATAGACTCCATAGCAATTGGTGAGGTCTGATATTTCTGGTAAAACTTGCTAAAATTATATGTTAATAAATGTTTCTGCCTTTTTGTTTAAGTCCTTGATTTCATAAAGGAAATCAGCAAGTTTCGTAAAAGTGCTTTTTCTATGCTTTTATTTTGTGAAGTGGGTTGAACACCCTCTAAAGACATTCTTTGTCCCTCTATTTCAGACAACAAATCGACTTTAGAGAATTAATCTGTAAGGAATGATATACGTGGTAATTTCCTGCTGCTCCTTGTTGTACCTTCAGGAAACTATATCCGTTAGTGATTTTTATCTCTTAAAAATGAAAAATTTTAAATATACCATCAAATGTTAGTATGTCAGAGTAGAGGAAGCAACTCTTCTAAATTAACTGCCCTGACTGATGTAGGGAGAAAAAGCTTTCTTTATTCAGTCCATTCATGTCCATTCCAAACAGATTTGAGGTAATGAAAATGAAGAGTATTTGCTGACCCATCAAATTTTGGTGTGCTCAAACACAAATATTTTTACTTAGATGTCTGAGGAAAGGACTTTACTCCAGAGTGTGTTGTTGTTAAGTGCTGTTGAATTAGTTTCAACTCATAGCTGCTACCATGTATAGAGTTTCTGAGACGTGACAGGTGGATTTAAACTGCCGACCTTGAAGTTCAAACTGACCTTGTGGTACAGTGCTTCTACAGAGCCACACCAAAGTATGTTAGTTTCCTATATTAGAATTTTGTGTTTTTTTTATATTTTGTTGATTATAGGTCTTAATGGATACACTAGACTTATTTAATATTTCAAATTGTAAATTTAGAACTATGATTTAAAATTTTTTACTGCCCTTAAAATGGCATGGGGTGAGAATTATCTCTGGCTAAGGTCGCTATGGGTCGGAACCGACTCGACGGCACTTAACAACAACAACAACAAATGTAATTGCTACATATGTTTAAAAATACACATAATTACACTATCATTTTTATAAACTATAGTAGCTAGAAATGATCATGTTTCTATTTGCTACTAAATGAATAAAAGCAGCTTCTGGGGCATCATAGAATAGATAAATAACAAAAGTATAAATAATAACATCAATCTCTCCCACAGGTGTGGAAATCACAAATGTCGTCAGATGGCAGAAAAGCCAAGAGTAGGGACAGGTTCTATGATGAGGTTCCAGTGGACATGCCATATCCAGACGGCACTGGAAGATCTCTCCAGAGTCTTCACAACAGCAAGCTGGCTGTGAGCGCTGATCCTTTGCCACCGCCCCCTCTCCCATTACAGCCACCCTTCGGTCCAGACTTCTACTCAAGTGACACAGAGGAACCAGCCGTAGCACCAGATCTCAAACCCATCAGACGCTTTGTCCCTGACTCCTGGAAGAACTTCTTCAAAGGGAAGAAGAAGGACCCAGAATGGAATAAGTCAGTGTCTGACATCAGATACATCTCTGATGGAGTGGAGTGTTCACCTCCAGCTTCTCCCTCCAACTCCTGTAAAGATCCTTACGGAGAGTCAGGAGGAACCTTCAGTTCCCGGAAAGAGACTGATACGATGCTTCCCCATGACCCCTATGGATCTCTAGGGCGACACACACAAACAGCTCGAACGTACAGTGAGAAGGTGGAGGAGTATAATCTGAGGTATTCCTACATGAAGTCGTGGGCAGGCCTGCTGAGAATTCTGGGTGTTGTGGAGTTGCTTCTGGGTACAGGTGTCTTCGCTTGTGTCACAGCTTACATTCACAAGGACAGTGAGTGGTATAACTTGTTTGGATATTCACAGCCCTTTGGTGTCGGAAGTGTTGGTAACCTGGGAAGTATGTATGGCGGCTATTATTACAGTGGCCCTAAGACCCCTTTTGTACTTGTGATTGCTGGTTTAGCTTGGATCGCCACCATTATTATTCTGGTTCTTGGCATGTCCATGTATTACCGGACCATTCTTTTGGACTCCAACTGGTGGCCCCTAACTGAATTTGGAATTAATGTTGCCTTGTTTATTTTATATATGGCTGCAGCCATAGTCTATGTGAATGATACCAACCGAGGTGGACTCTGCAACTATCCATTATTTAATACGCCAATGAATGCAGCGTTCTGTCGGGTAGAAGGAGGCCAGATCGCAGCCATGATCTTCCTGTTTGTCACCATGATTGTGTATCTCATTAGTGCTTTAGTGTGTCTGAAGTTATGGCGGCATGAAGCAGCTCGGAGACATAGGGAATATATGGAACAACAGGAGGTAAGTGATTTCATAAGCCTTCTATTACTTATGCACTAAAGAGGAATATAGTTCTCAAAACACAAAGCTTTTATAGAAGTCTTTTCTCTTTTAATTTGAAGTTAAAAAAAAAAATTCTAGTCCAGTATCCCAGACATGCTTTGACTGAAATATTCTACTCTGACGTTTTCCTGTTGCATAATGTGGCAGATGTATAATATATAGTTTGTTGACTACGTAATTTTGTGTCTGATGCTTGCGGTGAAATCACGCTTCTGAATTGCTGCAAAGAATAACATACTCATTAAAATAAATGACTCATTGTTAAAGTAAGTTTGGAGAAAAAAAGTTTGAGAAGAGTCTTGATTCTTTAGTATGCTAAGACTTAGTTTTAAAAATGCACATAATTTTGCAGTTATACAAGAAAGTAGTAATTTAAACTTAATATTAGAGTCCCATTTTTTTCCAGTGAGGTAAATAAAACCAAATAAGAATATGGTGAACCAGTTTGGTTTTTTTATTTAAGTATTGATAGATTAAGTTATAATGCACATGCTCTGTGAAAATGTGCTAAGGAATTATTATTATTAGGAGAAGAAATAATAGTAATAATCTTTACAACAGCAGTATCGAGAAGATTTCTTGTTAGGTGCTGTCGAGTCAGTTCCAACTTATAATGACCTTATGCACAACTGGACAAGATGCTGCTCTATCCTTACAATTGTTGCTACTTTTAAGCCCGTTGCTTCTGTCACTGTGTCTTATCTGGAAGAATATTTTAAAATCCTATTTAAAATCATTTATTTGAACAATAGCAAATATGTTTGAGTTCTGCTAGCTTCAGTACACCCTGAATTTAGTTAATGTTTTCCTTTCTTAGGAGTTACTCAGTAGCACACTGGCATACAAATTTTGTTTTTTAACCTAAGTTTTTATAGCAAGTGCTTCGTTTAATTAAAAAGAACAAACCTCAAAATGTTTCAATGTGGTCCACACACTATTGTCCCAAAATATATTTAGCTTACAAGAACTCTATGTAGGTTCAACTTATTTCTAAAAATTTATCTCAGCACTTATAAATTCTCTCTCTTTTTTAACTGTTAAAATATAGAGAAGACAACATTTGCCAAGTGAACATTTTTCCATATGGACAGTCAGTCAGTGATGCGAATTACATCAGTCATATTGTGCGTCACCATCACCGATATCCATTACTCAATTTTCTATCCCATAAACAGAAACGCAAGTCAAGCATATTTCTTAAATTACATCTGTCTTAATTAGCTAGTGCTGCTTTAACAGAAATACCACAAGTCTTTAACAAACTGAGCTTCATTCTCTCACAGTTCAGGAGGCTTGAAGTTCAAATTCAAGGCTGGCTCTAGGGGAAAGCTCTCTGTCTCTATTTCCTGACTGTAGGTGGTTCCCTTGGGTCATCCTCCTTGGTGGTAGTAGCTCCCTCCTTCTCTGCTCCTTCTCTTTTTTATCTATTGTAAGATTAAAGGTGATGTGGGACACACTGCAGGGAAATTCTCCTTACAGCATATCTGCACTGTGACCTGATTGCATTGTACCCCACTCTAATTCCCTTATACCGGATTGGTTTATCACATCAGATGACAACATGGGGGATTATTATATAACTGCTGAATTATATCGTTTTACAACTACTGAATCACTGAGAATCATGGTCCAACCACGTTGACACATTTTTTGAGGTGGGTGGGTGACACAATTCAATCCATGACAACATCATTGTGAAGAATGTTAAATTCTAATCAGTGTGGAACTCTCATACGATTTATCATGATTTCATGCAAGTTTAATAGCAACAAAGTTCTTAATGTCACTTTCTAAATTTCTCATGAATATACCTATAATTATCAACATAATCTCCCTTTTTTAGCAAAATCTCATTTCTGTAAGTTTTTTCATAATGATTGGTTAGAGTGAATTATCTCTGATGTAGGTTACACCTGTTGCTGTAATTCATACTCAGTGGTGATTAACAACACAGCTTCCTGCAGTTGGCAGATGTGATAACTTGTGCGTCCTTGTATTCATTTCATAGTGTAACCATCTCAAATTCTGACCATGCAAGGTAATGGGGATCAAGAATAAATAAAATCTCCAGGTAACTCAAAGCATCTCAGTAGTCTGCAGAGTCCCCGCATATCTGGCCCTGCCCTGTGTTCCTGTGACAGGTAAAAAGTTATCCTTCCTCTTAGGGTTCTCCACTGGCCGGTCAAAATGTAGCCAAGGGAGAAGGAGGAACATTGAACTCTTCTTACCTGAGTCATGTAGAAACTCAACCTCTGTAGCGAGAGATTGGACTATGAATGAAAATACTTGCAAAGCAGCTCTGAAAAATGATTTTAACTCTTTTTTGTTCCAGATAAATGAGCCATCGTTGTCATCAAAAAGGAAAATGGTAAGAATGGAGTTCTCTTCTCTTCTCTCATCTATCTACATAGTCTATGGAAATGTGTTTATTTTGTTGAGTTCATAGTAGGATTTCCGGCTTTTGTCTAGTGCTAAATGGGCCTAAGCAAACTAAATCACAGCACCTTTTCATTTTGATAGATGTAAACTTACGCAACTGAATGTCGTTGCTACACTTCATAAGTTTAAAATTTTTCTATTTTAAGAATAAAAACAATTCTCTCAAACTTTCTTTAAAGTTCTTTGTCATTCTCTTCTCTCTCACCTTGCTTTGTAGATCCAAACTTTGTAGTGCCAGGAAATTCCTTTTCTGAGATTTATTTAGCTTCTTGACCATGGATAAGTTATTTAGCCTCTCTGTGCTTCTTTATTTATAAAGTTGAATAATTAGAATTTCTACCTCACTAGTCGGCTGAGAAGGTTAAATGAGATGTTAATATGATTAATTATGCATATTTAATGTGTTATTAATAATCATAGTTTTACCCTCACTGAACGTTGTCTCAGTGGGCATAGTATTTTTTTAGCAAGTAGTGGAGAATCCAACCTTTAGGTTGTTCCCAGTATTACCAGTGTGTGGTGATTCCTTTCAGAAATCTGTTACATAAATTCTCTCTCCTCCCCTTAACATATATGATAGTGTATTGTACATGCTGTTATAGCTTTCTTTTCACTAACAATGCATTTCAAAGACGGTTCTACACTATAAAGAGCTTCTGCATCATCTTTTTTTGTAGCTACATATTGCTTTGTATAAACATACTTGGGGGCTTCAGAATGTTCATGGAAAAATCCCATTATCTATTCATTCCATTTTTCCATGAATTCTTTGAAGCCTCTTCATACCATAATTTATGTAACTGTAAATGAACAACTAGGTTGCTTTTAATCTTTCACTATTAAAAACAATGCTACAAAGCTAAGCCCTACAATGTTCAGTGGACTTCTGTGGACCCAGTTGGGGACCTGGTTGGCAAGCAGTGTGAAGAGGCCTGGGGACTCTTGGGCCCAGAGACAGTGGTGTGGCCATGGAGGACTC